GCCCGTCAAATGTACCGTCTTCAATGACGGAGAGTTCGTTGTCGTTCAGATCCAGATATCGGAGCATTTGTAAACCATGGAAAATGGTAGAAGGCAGGCTTTTCATGCCGTTTTCTCCCAGATATATGTACCAGACGTTTTGAAGGCCCCTAAAAACGTTTCGATCAAGAGTATCTAGTCTATTGCCGTCCAGATTAAGGAACTCGATAGAATCAAGGTTGTCAAATGTTCCGGGCGGTAGATATGTGAGGTCATTGCCCTGTAGATTAATGTCCACTAACTCACGAAATGTACTGAAAAACCCCGGCTCTATTCTTACGATAGAATTGTTAGCAACAGTAAGCATTTGCAACTTGGGGTGGTCACCAAAGCTGCTCCGGTTTAGTTCCACCAGCATGTTGTTGTCTAAATGGAGTAAAGTCAGCTTGTCGAGGCCGAGAAAAAGATTTTCTGGAAGAGAATCCATTCCGTTCGCTTCAAGTTTAAGCTGAGTGAGATTGGAAAATCCGCTGAACATGGCTGCTCTTAAGTTCCCCAAACCGTTACCGTTTAAATCTAAAGTCCTTACATTGGCGGGTAGGGCAGCTAGAATGTTGTCTATGTCCAGTATACCGTTCCTGGCTAGGCGTAGTTTACGCAATGGCAAGCCCCTAAAAACATCTGCAGGCAAAGCAGAAATCCTATTATTATTGAGATCAATTGATTCTAGACTTGACAGCCCTCGAAGGAGCCCACTCAAGCTCGATATCATATTGCCTTCGAGATGCAAGTACTTCAATTTTGTCAGGTTTCTAAACACACCCACCTCCAAAGTCTCTAACTCGTTGTTGTTCAACGCAAGTTGTTCAAGAGTGTCGGATTGCCAATCGAAAGACCCGACCTCAATGGACGAGATTTTGTTACCAGAGAGCAAAATGTTGGACACCTGAGAAAGACCGGCAAACGAGGCTTTCGTAATGGACGTGAACTTGTTACCCCAGAGTGTTAGAGTGTTCGTATCGTTTGGAATACCAGTCGGCACTTCTGTCAAGCCTTCATAGCTACAGGTGACTTGGTGCGTCAGACATTGGCAGGCGAGGCTCTCTCCGGCGCTGTTACAGGCTACGGCGGGTGTCCCGTGCACAGGAATCAGGTGCGTCATCAGAAGCAGTGCACATACTGCTATTGCAGCCTTGAAGAACGTGGCGAAAGCTTTCGGGCCCTGAAATTGAAGTATAGAGCTCAATAATGGCGATTCAATGTCAGAGAATACACAAATCAATATAATTTTTCCCGTAGTTTTGGACTTGGGCATCACTCATTTGCATTTTGGCTTTCGTAGGTGTAATTGTGCTGTTTGGTAATTCCTTAACGAAATTAACATAACATGGGTGACGCAGCCAACACAACATATAGACTTGTGCAGGTCTTTGAATTATATCATCTCACCAGAACTTGCAGAAGTTCAAGCTCTCAAAATCTGTTGTTCATAATATTGTGGTCGGGTGACCGTGGAAAATGTGCTAATGCATTAACGATCTCCGAACTCTAGTGTTAGTTAAAATATCTCCATACATAGTTATATACATCTGCAATACATACATAGTTAAGATATCTGCAATCCAATACCTGCATCTTAATTGGGCGCTCGTTGAAGTGATTAGAATCAATTGCAGTGCCCTTGTCACCCTGACTAGCCCTTGCCCTAACACACTGGTTATTTTGGGACGAGGTCGCGATCGATCTCCGTGTACACTGGTGCTTGGCGTTCTGCGGAACAAAGAGGGGAAGCGGTCAACATATTTTACTAAAAAACGGCAAGTTAAGTAAGTAATTCAGGATGATGAAGCACGAACCAAAATAAACAGCTAGAATTATCAGCGCTCGGTGTCATGCCAGGACTCGACCCGGGACCTCTTGGTTCGATTGGAGCACTCTAACGCTACGCCACACGACTCCACGACGAGTGTTGCCCCCACACACCCTCATCATCAAATGAACTTTCCCTGGAACGTTTCTATCGGCGTGCCCCACACGTGGCTTTCTTCAGAAGTCGGCAAAAATGGGGTCACCGAAGGTCACCACGTGGATATCAACATGGAGCGAGAATACATGTACCATCTGTTCTCTTCTTCTCAGTCACAGGCATTATCCTTCTCCCTACAGCTATTCCCAGTTAATAAAGCTATGGGCCTGGGCTGAGTAAACTCACAGGCAAATCATTCTCCCTATTTATATACCCAGATATGGGCTGGGCTGAGTGACCTATGAACACATTAGCTTATATAGTATGTAAGTGTCATTACTGTTTTCTTTTCCCTGTCTACCCATGACCTGTACTTAGCTCGTTAGAGCACAAGCGTACAATAAAGGTCTTTCATTCATTCATAATTTTTTCACACAGGCGCCAGATTTATAGGACGATGCTTATGAAATCAACGCAGGGCAATATTGATTATCATCGCGGCTGTGAGTGAAACAGAGCAAAGGATGGCATTCCACACATCTGTACTGGTGCACATAGAATCTTTGCTGTTAAAAAAGAAGAAGACAATTTGTATAATAAAGCATTGAGGTAGAAAAACATGAATAAAGTATGTCAGGCATTTCACCTTCCGGATGACGCTCATCTGCATGCTCACTGGCAAATGCAGGCACGTTTAATAATATAATGTTCAGGGACCAGCTTTCTTAAAATCACAATTACAATCAACAATACTAAGCATTCTAGACGTGAACGTTGTTTTGTACGTACCAAATTATGTACGCGACGAAAACGAGACGTCCCTTTCTATATATTCTGTGGAAGACCCTCGCAGTGGCCCACGCCCGGGCTCCGGAATGGCGCGGAAAACACGATCGCACTGACGTATTGCATCCGGGTTACTGAGGGTCGCTCCTAGCCTCTACCAGGCTTCGGGAGGGTCAATAGAAATTGGCCAAGAGAGAGATAACATGCCGGGTGCAGAAAACTGTACTCTTCTAGCGGACCAACTCCCCCAGCATGTTATCTCAGTCTTTATTTGGCCAGTTTCTACTCTTTCCGTCGACCTCCCGAAGCCTGGTAGAGGCTAGGTAGCTCCCTGGGTAGCTCCACGCCCCTGCACATTGTCATCATTGTGGATTAAGTGGGTACTGCTGATGGGGGAGTCTGTGTATATGGGGGGGGGGGGGGTCGTCGAAGTTCACGGCCGTTACACTACTGCTGCCCTTGGCCTAACTCACCCCATGAGAGGCCCGGCTTATGGGTTGATCTCGCACCAGCTCCAGAGGCACCACCAGTGGTAAGTCGAACCGTTCTTCTATCTCTACAGTACAAGTACAATATTGCAGTTGCTGCACTTCTAAACCTGATATGGCGTGATAGCTCTATTAAACGCAACATCACATCATTGAGGTGATGATGAGGGCCAGACAAACGTTAAGGCCCCAAAACATGATCCACGAATGACCCATGTGGACAGTACAGACTAAATTCTAGAAGACTGTGATGATGATGGGCGCCCTCAGCTTGGTTTGGACCTCAATTAAGCCAATATTCATTCATTCATTCAGTGATTGTACCGAAGAGGTTTAATAGAAATCTGGCTATGTGCCTGGGAAATTAGGGAGGGACCCGTTGGCATGGAATGCATGCATGTTTGTAGTCTCTACTGATTTGCCAGGGTAGTTTGCATTTGCCCGAGCAATGTTAATCACCCTTAACTGGGCCTTAACTGGTACTCCCGCGGCTCGCTCTCCTATCCAACAGATTATTTACGCTATTTCTGGCGAATTCTACGGTCTATACTGGTAGCCCTCTCAAAAAGGGCCTTCGGTGGAGATACGCTTGCACGCCTCAGGGAAAGTACGTTTGATTCGTGTGTCTCAGTGGCAAGATGTATCGACATCATTTTGTCACATTCGTCATACGACTGGTTTGCTACATACAGTCAACTGAGGACATTCTGGAATAGTCGTGGATATGTCGGGGCTAATCCAGCTGATCTGTGTCTTAAAAAACATGCCAGTTCTGTCCCTCCAACCATCAATGATTCATACGGAGAATATTCATGTGACCTCGCGTTGAAGGCCCTTGAAGAGGACGTTGCCTATGCAGATGAACTCTGATAGATTGAACTGTTCGTACATTAACATTCTGAATGACTTTGATGACAATAACTTGCCGTTTATAGTGAAAACAAAAAAGGATCAACCAGGTAGCGAGGACGCCAGGGGCGCGCGACCGGTCTCGCCGCCGCCGCCGGGAGCGGAGGGTCCCGGGCCCCGCGCAAGCGGGGCGGGGCGGTCCGCTTGACCGAACTTCGGTGGAGATTTCCGTGTTGTTTTCTGATTTTCATCATCCAATAAGATAAACTTGAAGACCGAGGTTTAAACTTGGTGCCCCTGAATCCTCAAACACTCACAAAAACCCAAGTTTTGGGCCTACCAAGGAGGCTAGTATTTCGGAGTGTATATAAAATCTGTCTTTTATATACACACCGGGAGTGTATATAGCCACGGCGAAAACAAAATATGTTGACCGCCTCTCTCCTTCGCTCCACAGAATGCCAAGCAGTGCCGTAGTGACAGCTGTCATCGTAAAAACACTGTGTCAGGGTGACACAGTCACTGCGATTCATTCTAATCAATTCAACAAGCGATGCAGGTATTGGATTTCAGATATTTTACTAAGTATTCACCAGACTATGTATGAGACTAGGGTTTTGTAAATGTTGCAAGGTCGCCCGATTACAATGTCATTTACAGGTATAACTATATATATATATATATATATATATATATATATATATATATATATATATATATATATATATATATATATGTATGTGTGTGTGTGTGTGTGTGTGTGTGTGTGTATATATATATATATATTTTTTTAGAAGTTGCAATTCGGCTAACTTGGCGAGACGGTATAATTCAATGATCCTGTTCATGGTCCAAGTCATGTATTGTTAATGCAAAGTTTTTCGTTACAAATAAAATTATCACATACGTACCTTGAATTTGAGGGGCCAAAATGAAAATGATGCCCCAATCCAGCACTACTTGAAATAAGATATGTAACCTGTAGCTGTTTCGGAGAAATGAAAAAAAGGTATGAACTACTCGCTTCCCATGACATGACATCACCATTATTGAGTTGTATACTACAATTTCAGGACCCGAAAGGTTTCGTCACGTTCTTCAAGGCTGCAAGAACAGTGTGTGCACTGCTTCTGATGACGCACCTGATTCCTGTGCACGGAACACCTGTCGAAGCCTGTAACAGCCTCGCCTGCAGATGTCTGACGCACCAAGTCACCTGTAGCTATGAAGGCTTGACAGAACTGCCAACTGGTATTCCAAACGATACCTACATTCTAGAACTCTGGGGTAACAAGTTCACGTCAATCACGAAAACCTCATTTGCCGGTCTTTCCCAGGTGACCGACATTTTGCTCTCTGATAATAAAATCTCGTCCATTGAAGTCGGGTCTTTCGATTGGCAATCCGACACTCTTGAGCAACTATGGTTGAACACCAACGAGTTAGAGACTTTGGAGGTGGGTGTGTTTAGAAACCTGACAGAATTGAAGTACTTGCATCTCGAAAGCAATATGATATCGAGCTTGAGTGTTGGCATATTTCGGGACCTGTCAAGTCTAGTATCAATTGATCTCAATAATAATAAGATTTCCCATTTGCCTTCAGATATTTTTAGGGGCTTGTCATTCCGTAAACTGGGTCTAGCCAGGAATGGTATAATGAACATAGACAACACTCTGGCTGCCTTACCTTCCAATCTTGTGACTTTAGATTTAAACGGTAACGATTTGGGGAACTTAAGAGCGGCCATGTTCAGCGGATTTCCCAATCTCACTCAGCTTAAACTTGAAGCGAACGGCATGGATTCTCTTCCAAACAACCTTTTTGTTGGCCTCGACAAGTTGGCTTTACTCCATCTAGATCACAACGTGCTGGTTGAGTTAAACCGAGCCAGCTTTGGTGAGCACCCCAAGTTGGAAATGCTCACCTTAGCTAACAATTCTATCGTGCGAATAGAGCCGGGGATTTTCAGTACATTCCCCAAATTAAGGCAAATTGAGCTACAGGCAAACGATCTCACATATCTACCACCCGGTATATTTGACAACCTTACCTCTCTCAAGTTCCTTCATCTAGACGGCAATAGACTAGATAATCTCGATGGTAACATCTTCAGAGACCTTCAAAACGTCTGGTATATATATCTGCAAGGAAACGGCATGAAAAGCCTGCCTTCTACCATTTTCCGTGGTTTGCAAATGCTCCGATATCTGTATCTGGACGACAACAAACTCTCCGTCATCGAGAGCGGTACATTTGACGGCCTCCCAAGAATAGAAAACATATATCTAGAGGATAACCCACTGACTAACATAACCTGTGGAATGCTCCCTACCAAGAACGTATCGACGGTCTTGTGGGAAATTAGCATTGACTGTACTTGTGAGTGGAAACCTGTGTACGACTGCCCAGAGTTTTCCTGGGTCGGTTCGAAACTAGAGTGTAATAGTCCGCTTCGCTTCTGGTTCGATTCTCTTGATGAAGTCCCAAAGGATGCCTTGACTTGTGCCGCTCCTAGAATGTTTTGCTTCAACCATATAGGTTGGGTAGCTTTATCGGTCCTTGCTTTGTTGTCTAATATCATTATAAGTTACTGAGATAGCAGCACGATATTTACGGCTTAAGCTAGCATCACCATAGAAATATACTTGTACGAACGTCCCCTTGCCTAGACGATTCTCATTTGAGAAAGATGAAGTGCATGTAGTAAAAGTCCTGCATGTTTTGGTGTTGATGCCGTGAAGAAATAAAGTCAGGTTTTGAATGCCACATAATACTAGGGAAGCGGAGTAGTGTAACTAGTTGATGTGTTGATGTTGTGCAAGAAATAAACACATTTGAGAAAGATGCTAAGGGCGTAGTCCCTGTGTTGATGTACAAGAAATAGTCTCAGACTCTCAGTTAAATAACGTTTGAGAAACATACTAAGGGCGTGAACTAGTATATTTCTACTCTTATGCCCAATTGTAACACTGTCCAGTCGCTTCTGAATCCTGGTAAATGCTAGGAGTTTTCATGCTTTTTTATTGGATGTTTGGTCAACGATGCATCAGAACTTTGCCCGTTGCAGTGGCAACACAACATTTATAAACGACGGGATGCCATTCTTTGATATGCGAATACGGTCTGCCAAAGTGGATTTAACGCAGGCGCAATACGTTCAGGTTCACGTGCTGTCGAAAGTGCTCATTACCTAGGTCGAAGTTCACGGCCGTTACACTAACGTTACTGCTGCCCTTGGCATAACTCACCCCGTGAGAGGCCCAGCTTATGGGTTGATCTCGCACCAGCTCCAGAGACGCCAAGTTCCAGTGGTAAGTAGTCGAACCGTTCTATCTCTACAAGTACAATATTGCAGTTGCTGCAGTTCTAAAACCTGATATGGCGTGATAGCTCTAACGTAAGATCACACACGTCATTGAGTCATAAGGACGGGATCAGACACAGATATCATCCGTGGGCGAACAACGAACGGTGCGGACAGTACAGACAAAATTCTTGAAGACTGCTGGTTGATGTTAAACATGGTTTGGAAACTACTTAAGCCAATATTCATATGCATTCAGTGATTGTGCCAAAGAGGTTAGAAATCTATGTGCCTGGGAAAGGGACGGCCCTTAGCATGTACATGTATAACGAATGCATGCATGTTTGTAGTCTCTACGTCGTCTACTAAAACGGCTGATTTGCCAGGGTAGTTCGCATTTGCCCGAGCAATGTTAATTACCCTTTAATTACCTTAATTACCTAGGCTCGCTCTCCCAGCTAATAGATTATTTACGCTATTTCTGGCGAATTCTACCCTGAAAAAAAAGCCTCGCTTGCACGCCCATTAAAACGCTTCAGGGAAAGTACGTTTGATACGTGCATCACGGTGGCAACATGTAATGGCATCATTCGTCACATTCGTCATGCGACTGGTTTGGTACATACAGCCAACTGAGGGCATTCTGGGAAGTCGTGGGTGTATTGGGGGGTAATCTCCCAGCTGTCTGTGACTTAAAATTAAAAAAAAACAAAAACGTAAAAACTTTGTCGACAGTCATGCTAGTCATCCCTCCAAGCCGTTCACCAGCCATGAATGAAAAAATCAATTCGTGAGGAGAATATTTATGTAACCTGTCCTTGAACCATGGAGGAGCGAGGACGTCGCCTATGCTGCTGAACTCTATAGTTTGGACTGTTCGTACATTAACATTCTGGATGACTTTACTAATAATAACTTGCCGTTTGTGTGGAAAATAGAAAATATGTTGACCGCTTCCCTTCTTTGCTCCACAGAATGCCAAACACAGTAAACAGCTGTGATCCGGAATATCAAAAGAAACCCACTGAGTCAGGGTGACGCGGTCACTGCGAATCAGTCTACTCACTTCAACAAGCGATCAGTCAAGATGAAGGTATTGGATTGCAGATATTTTACTGAGTATAAACTCTATGTATGAGACTGGAGTTTGGAGACCGTATACCTTTATAAATTTTCCACGTTTACCCTATTGCAATGTCCGATTCATGCATACAACTTTGCATTAACATTACAGGAGTTCAATGCAACCAACACAACATAAAAGTTGTGTTGGCCTTATGCAGGTGTTTGAATGATATCACCTCTCCAAGTTAGCATAGATTGCAAGTTCTAATATATATTTTCCTTATGAACAGCACATGTTAAAATGCAAATGATGCCCTATTCCCAACAACATCTGAAAGTAAGATACGTAATCTGTTTCAGGGAAATGAAAAAAAAAGTGTATCAAATACTTGCTTCCCTTGACATGACATCACCATAATACAGTCAGTTGTAAACTACAATTTCAGGGCCTGAAAGCTTTTGCCACGTTCTTCAAGGCTGCAAGAGTAGTATGTGCACTGCTTCTGATGACGCACCTGATTCCTGTGCACGGAACACCCGTCGTAGCCTGTGACAGCGCCGGAGAGAGCCTCGGCTGCACATGTCAGTCTCGCAAAGTCGCCTGCGGCTTTGAAGGCTTGACAGAAGTGCCGACTGGTATTCCAAACGATACCAACATTCTGCAACTCTGGGGTAACAAGATCACGTCCATCACGAAAACAGTGTTTGCCAATCTTTCTCAACTGTCCAGAATTTTGCTTTCTGATAATGAAGTCTCGTCCATTGAGGTCGGGGCTTTCGATTGGCAATCCGACACTCTTGGGCACCTTACGTTGAACAACAACGAGTTAGAGACTTTGGAAGTTGGTGTGTTTAGAAACCTGTCAGAATTGATGGGCCTGCGTCTCGACAGCAATATGATATCGAGCTTGAGTGTTGGGCTCTTTCGAGGGTTATCAAGTCTAGAAACAATCGATCTCAGTTATAATAGGATTTCCGATTTACCTTTGGATGTGTTTAAGGGCTTGCCGTTGCGTGACGTAAGCCTTGCCAGGAATAGTATACTGAGCATAGACAACATTCTAGCTGCCCTACCCTCCAGTCTAAGGACTTTAGAGTTAAGCGGTAACAGCTTCGGGAACTTAAGAGCAGCCATGTTCAGCGGATTTCCCAATCTCACTTCCCTTGAACTTGAAGCGAACGGCATGGATTCTCTTCCAGAAAATCTCTTTCTCGGCCTCGACAAGCTTGCTTTACTCCATTTAGACGATAACATGCTGGTGGAACTAAACCGAAGCAGCTTTGGTGACCACCCCAAGTTGCAAAGGCTTACTGTTGCTAACAATTCTATCGTAAGAATAGAGCCTGGATTGTTTAATACATTTCTTAAATTAAGGACCATTCATCTTCAGGGCAATGATCTAACATATCTGCCGCCCGGAATATTTAACAGCCTTATTTCTCTCAATATCCTTAAACTGGGCGACAATAGACTAGATAATCTCGATGCTAACGTCTTCCGAGACTTTCACAACATCTGGTATATATATCTGGAAGAAAACGGCATGAAAAGCCTGCCTTCTACCATTTTCCATGGTTTACGAACGCTGCGATATCTGCATCTAGAAGACAACGAACTCACCGTCATTGAGGACGGTACTTTTGACGGCCTCCCAGATATACAATACATAGATTTGGACGGTAACACACTGACTAACGTGACCTGTGGAATGCTCCCTACTAAGAACGTATCGATTCACTTGTACGAAATTAGCATTGACTGTACTTGTGAGTGGAAACCTGTGTACGACTGCCCAGAGTTTTCCTGGGTCGGTTCGAAATTAGAGTGTACGAGTCCGGTTCGCTTCTGGTTCGATTCTCTTGATGAAGTCCCAAAGGAGAGCCTGACGTGTGCCGCTCCTAGAATGGTTTGCTTGAACCATATAGGTTGGGTAGCTTTGTCGGTCCTTGCTTTGTTGTCTAATAGCCTGATAAGTAACTGACATAGCAGCACTATACTCATTGAGCATTGCTATAGAAATGTTATTGTGTGACTTCCCCTTTGCCTAGATTATTCACATGTGTTAAGGCATTTGAGAATTCGAAAGATGCTAAGAAGGTGAAGTAGTAAAAGTAGTCAATGTGTTGGCATTGATGCTATGTCGTACAAGAAAAAAAACTTAGTTTATTGATCTATTTTTCGAAGCTTTGTCACAAGACAGGACAGGGGGAACTGTCAAATGCCTTTTCAAGGTCCACTGTCCAGATTAAAAGCATAAAAATGCAAGTAATATAGAGGTAATAAATTCAAATAATCACTAACAATATTATAAGTAAATATATAATCAATAACATGACAATAAACATAATAAGTTACTTTTCATTATGTGTTATTTCAAAATGCCACAATACTAAGGAAGCGGAGTGGTGTAAATAGTTAATGTGTCGATGTTCATGTTGTACAAGAAATAGTTAGATAACATGTATTTGTACGTATATAGGAAAGTGCTTTGAATAATTTGGTCTAAAAAATTTAAAGGACATAATGTTATTGTTAGTTACAACATTAAGCGCGGGTGTGAGGATATTACTTCAGAAAGTACAATTATAACAGATAATGAAAATTCAACTCCCATTTGCTCTGTGCTATTGTTATTCTATATGTTTATGTATGGTAGAATCTGACTTGCTTTCTACTGTATTTTCGTTTATTCTACCATACTATTGTACGTTATGTATTTCTAATCTAAATATTATTTCCACAAAACATCATATAAGTGAGAGTGGCTTTTTATTAAACTATTCATAAGCACATTTCCCCGGGTGCATGATTTGTCAAATACTGGAGAGACGAATGTAGCAAATTACACTGTACCTTCCGTAATCTTACATCAGATACCGGTAGCATGACACTGTGAGAAAAATCTGTACCTGCATAGCCGGTATAACCGCACTTAGGCGTAACACACCAGCTTCGCAGCAGAATACAAAACGCTTAAAATCGTCCAAAACAAGCACAACCTCTGCTTGGAGAGTAGGCGTCGGCATCGCTTCCTTGCGGTGTTTGTGTTAATGGCCCAGTGAACGTCGGACTGAGACCAAGGAACTCCTTGCTGAGACTACGCGGAACTAGCCTGGGTACTATCCTGGTTAGTTCACGTCCGCTTCTACAGTCGCTACCGACCAACCAGTCTGGACCGGTGCCAGGTGTGATGATGTCACGTAATTGTTGGTCGGTAGTGACTGTGGGCTCAGCGGACGTGACGTAAACTTACCAGGAATCGGGCAGGATGGTACACAGGCACCCCGACTAACTTACTTAGGCACGAAACTGGTAAGTCCTGTATTTTTGACATGTTGTAGTTCTTACGATGCACTGACTTCAAGTGTTGTGTTGAATTTGTAAGATATGTGACATTTAACACGTGTACAATAAGGTTATAACCTCCTTGCTGTCAAATGTTTTAAGAAGTCGGACCGTATTAAAGTTTTGCCGGGATTAACGTCAATGGCCTGATAGGGGAAGTGTTTCACTGATGATCTGATGCATGACAGGTCAGGCTGTTTATATACATTAGCACTTGGCGTGTGTTCAAATGATGTCACTTGATACTTGCTATAGCGTCATTGCAACACAGTGCATATTGAACTACAGTATATCTAACTTAGCCTAGTAGTAATCTCCAGGCAGATCCTACGGTGGCAAAGTAGTGATCATGTGGCCAAAGGTTACAGCCTTACTATCGTAGAATCTGCTTGGAGGTTAACTTAGGGAGTTGTTCAATACTTCAACAAGAGCAAGTATAAAACAATTATGCATGTATCATTATTCGCTTCACGCCTTTGATTTCTCAAACAGTCTCGACAGAAGAGAGCTAGTCGGTGCTGGATCATACCCCCCCCCCCACGGTCTGCGGTCACGGTACCTCAACAGATCACGTTGCTGGCTGGAAAGGCCCGTGTTTTATACCATCCAGTGCTCACGATGCAGGTAGCTCATATTCAGCCATGATATTGGTACCGGGATTCTTTTGCCGGCCCAAAAAGAGCGTGGGTTTCAATTGATTGGGTCTCAAAAGTGATAGACATTTTGGACATACATTCTCTCCTCATTGCTCCTTTAAGATAATTTGTGAGATAATGAGCCTAAAACTTTATTTTTGGTCTGATAAAATTAAATCAAATGATCAATATCAATAAACTAGTATCATAATAGTTTTCAGGTAAATGCTGGTGTCCAACTGGACTAAAAAACTCAGTATAATGTTTTTTTGTCTTGCTAGAGAGTGCAAAGCATCAAGTATGTTACTTGGTTGGTTCGTTGGTTGGTTGGTTGGTTGGTTGGTTGTGCTGATAGAACTTGACCTTCAAAAAGTGTTGTCTTTGCCTTTTCCAGGGTCAAAGAACCACTCCCAGCCGTTACAGGGCAGCCAAACTGCTGCAGGTACTGGTCATAATGGCGGCCATCATCCGGCATGCACCGGGACAACCCATTCGGGCGTGTGACAGTTCCGGCAGAAGCGCCGCCTGTACCTGCAAACCTCTCATCGCCTTTGTCATTTGCACGCGTCCAGAATTAACTGAACTACCTTCAGGGATACCGAACAACACCATTTCTCTCAGGATCACCGGAAACCAACTGACGTCACTTCCGAGAATGGCCTTCCATCAGTTGTCTCAGTTACAGATGCTCACTCTCTCAAGTAGTCAGATCTCTGAAATTAAGCTTGGGGCGTTTGAAACCTTGTCCTCATTGGAGTGGCTAAATTTGGAGGGTAATATGCTCGAGAACTTAAGTGTAGGTGTTTTTCGTGGATTAGTGAACATGTGGAAACTTGATCTCGGCGGCAACCGTATTGAATCTCTTCCTGTCGGCATTTTCTCTGGCCTGCCTTCTTTACGGCAAATAAGTTTGGCAAGGAATGGCATTAAAACCTTAGACCACATTTTGCCGTCGCTGCCTATCCATGTACAGTCGCTAGAACTCGACGGGAACTACATATCTCGCATAGATAGGAATGTTTTCGCTAGATTCCAGAATTTGTCCAGTCTCGTCCTCAGCGACAACGGATTCGGAAATCTTGTACCGGGAGTCTTTAACGGGTTGATATCGCTCTCTAGACTCTATCTGAACGGTAACAACATCACTTTCCTCCCACCCGATCTGTTTCTCGGTCTCGAAGAGTTGGGTTCTCTGACACTGGACAACAACCGTCTGGTCCAACTCAAGGGAAACCGTTTCGGGGACCACCCTTCGCTCACTGTCTTTAGTGTGGCGAACAACAACGTCTCGACAATCGAGGCTGGACTGTTTGGTAGATTCCAGAAATTGAACAGCGTTAATCTGGACGGCAATAACCTCACATCGCTTCCCACTGGGATATTCCACGGCCTTGTAAAGCTGAAGTCTGTTAGACTAGAGAATAACCGGCTACATACTCTTGATCCTGACCTCTTCCAAGACCTTCGCAATGCCTGGTTGATCAAACTGGGGCATAACAACATCAAAACCATTCCCTCTGGATTTTTCAGTTCATGTCTTAAGGTAGGGTACATTAATCTTCAGGGCAATGATCTCACATATCTACCGCCCGGAATATTTGACAACCTTACCTCTCTCCAGTTCCTTGAACTGGGCGACAATAAACTAGATAATCTCGATGCTAACGTCTTCAGAGATCTTCACGACGTCTGGCATATATATTTGCAAGGAAACGGCATAAAAAGCTTGCCTTCTACCATTTTTAATGGTTTACAAATGCTCCGATTACTGTATCTGAACGACAACAAACTCTCCGTGATTGAACACGGTACTTTTGACGGGCTCCCAATGATAGAAAACATATATTTGCAGGATAACCCACTGACGAATATTACCTGTGAAATGCTGCCCTCTCAGAATGTATCGACGTCATTGACGGAAATTAACATTGACTGTACTTGTGAGTGGGAACCTGTGTACGACTGTCCAGAGTTTTCCTGGGTAGGTTCGAAATTGGAGTGTTCGAATCCTCTTCGCTTGTCGTCTGATTCTCTTGATAAAGTCCCAAAGAATGCCTTGACTTGTGCCGCTCCTAGAATGGTTTGTTTTAACCAAATAGGTTGGGTAGCTTTGTCGGTCCTTGCTTTGTTGTCTAATAGCCTCATAAGTAACTGACAGAACAGCGCGATATATACTCAGTCTGCATTGTACTTGTAAGAATGTCCATTAGCCTAGACGACTGACATAAGAAATAAGAAATTTGAGAAAGATGTTAACGAAGTTACGAGAAAGTAGTGCATGTTGATGTTGCTACTATGTTGTCCAAGAAATGACTTTAACTGCGTCAGGGTTGAAATCAGTTTTAACTGAGTTAATTGTGTGTTATCTAAAATAACATTTGAGGAATATTTTGTAACTAGTTCACGTGAAGTAGTGTAACTATAGCTAGTTCATGTGTTGTACATAAGATAGACTCAGTTATATAACATATTTGATACTAATTCGATAATTGTTAATGATTTCTATAACACATTTAATACTAAAATGTGAACGAATCAGTGTAACTAATTCGTGTGTTGATTTTGATGTACAAAATACGCAGCTAAATAACATTTGTGAAAGATACTAAGGACGTGAAGTAGTACAACTACGTCGATGAAGGTTAGACATCCAGGTAATACGATACGCCAAAAAGCAGTTACTCAAGCAACTGTTCAAAATCATATCCAGTTGCTTGAGTAACTGCTTTTTGGCGAGTAGTACAACTAGTTCATGTGTTTATTCTTCACAAGAAATAAACGATGCGAGCAAGGATTGATGGGTGTCTGTGGTAAAATTCCTTGGGTGTATGTTGCTTTCTATACTGGAGCCGAGGAGCTGGCCTGTGTAAATCCCATTGGCTCCGGATAACAGTGTCAGTATACTGTATAAACAAGCTTTCATATCAACAGTCGAACAATGCTCTCTTTGGTCACTATCCTTTTATTTCTCCACCTCCTCTTAACAACAGCTTTCTCTGATTGGCACTTCTCTTTCGACCTTTTCTCCTATTTTCCATCATGGTGGCCCCCTTTGGGCCCTACCATTATTTACCCATCTACGGGGTATCATCTATTAGTAGTGTGTATAAACATACCACTACCCACTGGATTCGAAGCTACAAGTACATTAAGATACAACGATTTACAAATACGAGCTGAACTTGTATTCATTAAATGTGATCTCTTAGAAATTAACACCTTAGAAAATATAACATCTTTACTTCCCAGTTCAGTAGCTGATCAATTAGTGGTGTGTGTATACATTCCGCTACCCTCTGGATTATACTGAAGATACAATAACGTTACAATACAATGATTACAAACAAGTGCTGATCTAGATCTTGTATTCATCAAATATGACCCCTTGGACACCTTTTCCTGGGGTTCACTTCCCCGTTCAGTAGCTTGTCATACTTTTTGTGTGTTTTGGTGCACTCAGTTTAATGGAGACTGTCCAATAGTCTTCCTGATAAAATGTGGGTTTAATTATGATGTTTCCACATTTTCGTATAGAGAATTAAGCTGAGAGGTAGTTGGTCCCGTGCCGTACGATACATTTCCCATATCCGAGGCTTCAGTGGTGGCCTGAGACTGCCCCTGCCCTATATGACCATGTTGGTTTTCGTACAGAGAAGGTAGCTGCGAGGTAGTAGGCCCCGTGTCATACGATACATTTCCTACATCCAAGGCTTCAGCGGTGGCCTGAGACTGACCCTGCCCTGTCTGGTCATGTTGGTCCATATCTTCATTCTCAGTCTGATGGTCCTGACCACTAGTTACAGACACTGCGGTGTTTGTGTTAATTTCAGTGATGGTCTGAGACTGACCCTGCTCTGTCTGGTCATGTTGGTCCATATCTTCGTACTTATAGTCATGACCACTGGTCAGTACAGTAGCTGTGATGTTTGTGTTCATTTCAGTGATGGTCTGAGACTGGCCCTGCCCTGTTTGATGATGTTGGTCCACGTCTTCATACTGGTGATCATGGACACTGGTCATTTCATCAGTAGCTGTGATGTTTGTGTTGGTTTCAATGGTGGCCTGAGTCTGCCCCTGCCCTGTCTTGACATGGTGTTTATTGATATCTTCATATGGGTGCCTATGAGTACCACCTTTCAGTGCAGTATACGTACTAGTAGCTGCTCCTATCTGAATACCAGCATTGGCAATTACAAGTTTGGTGCTACCAACGGAATTGGGATTTATCCCTAAAGGAGGACGCTTTGCCCTCATTTTGTACCACGCTATACGAATGATGATGAAAATCAGGAACATGCAGGCTGCTGGTCCACAGACTGAGCCAATGAGAAAAGGCAAGGGGAGATTGGGAGTAGATTCATGGGAACTGCTGCTTTCTGGTTTGTCAGGGGTGATTGCAAGATTAAGAGGTGAAGTTGGTGTTGCTGTGGTCTTGCTTGGTGTGCCTGCTGCGTGTGATGTTGAACCAGCATTGCGTTTGAAGTACCAGCGATAGCGAGAAGTGACGGAAATATTGGAACAATTACCAATACTTTCTGATTCGCTAACAAGGGGCAGTGTGACAGATGTGGATGTTTGGATATCATCAGTTGGTGTTGACATGCTTGGTTCTTCGCACATCATTTCTTCAAGATTGACATCTTTAAGCTTCTGCCTGTATAATTTGGGTGGTTTGGTACATATTATCTTGTCTTTAAGTGTAGGAAATTCAGTCGTATTCAGCCTTAAGTGGACCATCCTACAGTCACACTGCCATGGGTTTTCGTCGATTCTTATGTTGATAGTAGATGACACCAAGCCAAAAACTGAAGGGGAAATGGCATGCATCTTGTTGAACCGAAGGTTCAGATTTTGTAGCCGTGACATATTTGCAAATGTACCTGCCAGAATCTCTGTTATCTTGTTGCCCTCTAGGTTCAACGTTACTAGACTGGGTAGATTTACAAATGTGCCTACCTGGATCTTTGTTATCGTGCTGCGGTATAGGCACAGCGTTTCGAGACTGGGCAGGTTTACAAATGTGCCTGTCTGAATCTCTGTTATCCAGTTTTGGTACAGATCCAATGTTTTTAGCCTGGTTAGATTTGCAAATGTACCTGCCTGAATCTTTACTATCCTGCTGCTGTGTAAACACAACGTTTCGAGCCTGTGTAAATTAGTGAATAGACCAGGCTGTAAACGTATCCTGCCGCCAGTGTTGGAGTTTAAGATCAACCTTTGTAGCCGAGATAGATTTGCAAACGTACCTATCTGAATCTTTGATATTTGGTTCTTGTGCAGCAACAAGGTATTGAGCTGCGGTAGATTTGCAAATGTTCCAGGATAGATGTTAGTTATTTGATTTTTGTATAAGTTCAGAAAGGTAAGATTAGGTAGATTTGGGAAATAATCAACGATGCTAATACTATTGATCGCCAAATTAAGTACTTCTAAATCTCTGTACCGTAAGAGTTCTGACTGATTTACAGCTGTAATAAGATTACTTTCCAAGATCAACGCAGTGATAGATGTTGGGAGGTATTGAGGGATAGTTGTGATGAGTTTGTTGTGGCAGTAACAGGTTATAGAAGATGGTTTACAGTCACAGTACGGACGACTGGCGGCTGGCATGTTGAGTCCCTCCAAGATGATGAGAAGGAAAATCAGTATGTATCGCAGCTTTCGCCCCATGGTGTCCTTCCACCTAAAACAAACAAGTACCTCATCCGTAAAGCAACAACAACTTTATGTGTCGTATCTCAAAGTTTGTGGTATCAAAAGATACTGCTTAACACTGTACAGGCCGATATTTTCTGTTTATCCTGATACCGGGCATTTGAGGACTGTTGTCGAAAAAAAGATGCCGGTACAGAAAAGAAAACCCGATTTGTTAGCTGTGTAATATAGTGTGTTACTGCGGTGTTAGCTATATGATTGTGTTTATTGTCTGGGGGTGGTTCTTTAATATTCATATTAAGGCTGTTTTTTTATGTTTTTCCCTGACCTTTGCACCTTCCAGATAAACAAATCAGAAGAAAAATGAATTTTAATTACTGCGGTGTTAGGTATATGGTTGTGTTAATTGTCTGGCACTGGTTCTTTAATATTCATATTAAGGTTGTTTACTGATGCTTTTCCCTGACCTTCCAGATAAACACATCAGAAGAAGAAAAAAAAAGTAACTATTGTCTGAAAAGAATTCTGACCAGTACAGCTACATCGACTTTGAGTTGTGTTATACGATTCTGATTTGACGCTCTGTTCTGTATATATTGTACTTTTGAGTTGTTCTGCATTTGCTGTTTTTCGTTTTTTTTTCGCTTAAGTTTTGTCTATGTTACTCTAGAATAAAGCAAAGCAATGTGAAACACTGAGCGCGCCTTACCCTGTTTAATGAAAACAGAAATAACATGATGATTAAATAAATATAAAAAATCATCTGCGTTTTTCTGAGGTACCATCACAAACAACCATTCAACCATTACAGGACTGTGTTTCGTAGTCGCTCTCGTCAAATTATGCAATTACGAAAACTGTTTTAACAGTTTTCGTTAAAAGTACAGACAAAGGAGCAGAAACAGTTGTAACGACGACGTCGACTTCTGACGGGTATATACTAGTACTTTATAGTCCAACAACCCTAAAAACATTTTAAACAAACTGCGGCCTGGCAAGGCAACCAAATTCTCTGGGTTGGTCAGAATTTGTCGCAGAAGTACAGCGTCTCGAAAAAAAACATATCAGGGTGCAGCATTCAAGTCTGTTCCCTCCCTGATCCGATCCCCAAGCGGATGTTTTCTGATGGTTGGACTTCTCAGCTACTCACCTTACCAACAGACATAAAGTGTCACAATTTACCAACATATGCTTGGAGAAGTAAACCCTGACTTATGCGTAACAGCTTTTCTACAGAGTAACAATTACCTTAAATATTTGTCCACTGGTTCTTTCAAGTCAGTCAAGGTAGCCTCAGTAAAGTTGGCACTATCTAGGCAAGAACTCGTGTAGATGATGCCACAGGCACCAGTTGCTGTTGTTTTTGAGGGTGCGTCCTTCGATAGCTGATCCGTGCCCTTCGATAGCTGATCCGCAATGCTGTGCAAGAAACAAATCAACTCTTAGGTATACGTGGTGATATTAATTGTCTGGATCTGGCTATTTGAATAATATCAACATTCATGCTTACGACGAAACCTGTACTGACTATTCAGGTTTTGTGATACAAGAGTCATACATGTTTAGCTTTTTTTTTTATTTCTTTACGTCTTGTACAAATAACTTACAAATCAGGATCGTCTGTCCAGTAACATAGGTCATTACGTGTAACGTTACGTGTTTCAAGATGCTTATTATTATTATTATTTTTTTTTTTTTTATTCAGAAACTCAATGAGAATTACAAATGAAAAGACATGGACTAAGTGACTGCGAACTCAAGTTAGGTACAACTTATATTCTCGCAGCCACTTTTACAATGAAAGAAAAATATTTTACAAGACATTTAAAAATACATGAGACCTCGCGTGAGTAACAATCCTCCCATCCCAGAAGACACATACAGTTAGAATCTTTTTGTTTCTAATATATAATTTTGTGCGGCTAACATTATTTTGAAGTTGGTGTCATACGAACAAAGGAAACTACCGCGAAGAACTAAATATTGTATGGAATTATCAGAAAGGGTGTTTAAATCAACAATATTACCAAGTATGCTTGAAAGCTTGCCAAAAAGGACTAAGCGCTGGTAGGTGTATATAGGGCAGTGCAATAAATAATGAGCAATCGTTTCATATGGACACCCGCAGCTACAGGATGGACTTGTAACAAGACCTCGGGTATAAAGACTGTAATTCAAGCTGCAGGTGCCCAGACGAAGTCGGGTAATGAGAATACAGGAATAACGAGAACCAAGTTCAAGTTTGTGGTATCAAGAAATACTGCTTAACACTTTTCTGACCGATTTTTTTCTGTTCATCCTGATACCGGGCTTTTGAGAACAAAACTTTTTGAAAGCCCGATAAAACGCATAGAAACACGTCCAAAAAAATCGACGCCTCAACCTGCTTGGAGAATATATTTGAGTAGCTTAAGCTTCCTATCCTTTGGTTGTTGTGGTACTTGTTGGACATATGGTTTATTAGCTGTTTCTCTATAGTGTGTAACAAATAATTTCAAATTACTGAGGTGTTAGCTATATGTGTGTGTTATTGTCTGGGGCTGATTCTTTAATATTCATATTAAGGCTGTTTATTGATTTTTTCCCTGACCTTTGCACCTTTCAGATAAACAAATCAGAAGAAAAATAAATTTTATTTACTGTGGTGATAGGTATATGGTTGTGTTTATTGTCTGGCACTGGTTCTTTCATATTCATATTAAGGTTGTTTACTGGTGCTTTTCCCTGACCGTCCAGATAAAAAATCAGAAGAAAAAAAGAAAATGTAACCATTGTCTTGAAAGAATTCTGACCAGTACTGCTACATCGACTTTGATACGATATACGATTCTGATTTGACGCTCGGTTCTGAATATATTGTACTTTTGAGGTGTTCTGCATTTGCAGTTTTTCGTTGAAGTTTTGTCTATGTTACTCTAGACTAAAGCAAAGCAGTGTGAAACACTGATCATGAGCGCGCCTTACCCTGTTTAATGAAAACAGAAGTAACATGATGATAAATAAATATCAAGAATTATCTGCTTTTTTCTGAAATACCATCACAAACAGCCATTACAGGACTGTGTTTCGTAGTCGCTCCCGTCAAATTATGCAGTTAGGAAAACTGTTAAGTACAGACAAATGAGCAGAAACAGTTGGTATAAACTCGTCGTCTAACGACTTTTGATGGATATACTTATAGTCCAACAACCCTAAAAACATTTTAAACAGACTGTGGTCTGGCAAGGCAAGTAAATTCTCTGGTTTGATCAGAATTTGTCGCAGAAGTATAGCGTCACGAAAAAAAACCGTATCAGGGTGCCGCAGCCTAGTCTGTTCCCCTCCTGATCTCCAAGCGGATATTTTCTGATAGTTAGGCTTCTCAGTACCCGCCTTACCAACAGTTACTGAATGTGTCACAATTTATCAACATATGCTTGAAGAAGTAAACCCTTACTTAGACGTAACAGCTTTTCTACAGAGTAACAGTTACCTTAAATATTTGTCCACTGGTTCTTTCAAGTCCCAGGCACCAGTTGCTGTTGTTTTTGAGGGTGCGTCCTTCGATAGCTGATCCGTGCCCTTCGATAGCTGATCCGCAATGCTGTGCAAGAAACAAATCAACTCTTAGGTATACGTGGTGATATTAATTGTCTGGATCTGGCTATTTGAATAATATCAACATTCATGCTTACGACGAAACCTGTACTGACTATTCAGGTTTTGTGATACAAGAGTCATACATGTTTAGCTTTTTTTTATTTCTTTACGTCTTGTACAAATAACTTACCAATCAGGATCTTCTGTCCAGTAACATAGGTCATTATGTGTAACGTTACGTGTTTCAAGATGCTTATTATTTGTAAAGCCTTATTAGTAATACATCTACTACCCATGATTGCTGCAATTCAGTCTTCAACGCCCCATCTGCAGTACCCAGACACTCCGCTTCAGGATGCTGGGGCGTGAGGCTACATGTAGAAACCTGTATGACCCGGATCCAAACCGTCAGTCGGGTGGTATTTTCAAACGCCATTCTTGGATGGTTCGGGGTGCGGGCCCCATACATTGAGGGGTGTTTCACCGAACGTCTCGAGGGACGCCACATATTCGTCGTCTCGTACATTTGTAAGTACAAAACAACGTTCACATCTGCATTACTAGCATTGTTCATCACTATGAATTTACGAAAGCCCTTTTGATAAAGTAGGTCACAGTCATGATGTATCAGCCTGGAGATGCAGAGTCAAGTTTATGCTAGACAAAGAACGATATATTTCCTTCCCTACATATTCCTTCCCTACATATTATACCATATAATGTTTGCTTTGATTAGCAAGGATTATATGTTATCCCATCAGCAAATATTCATATATGATACTGTTTACTAATCCGTAATCAAAATCGTACGGTACGCCAAATTAAGCACTGGTGATCAGTCGGGGAAAAACGAAATACCCGTTCAGTGCTGAAGCCACTGCCCTGCATTGATTTCACCAGCAGCCATGTCCTACATTCTGCAGCCTGTCAGAAAATAGCCAGAAGGTCACTCAGTCTCAGCCCGGCTCATTATGCAGGTATTGGGCGTATGTCGTTAATATGCTGGTCGCGTTATAGCCTAGCCTGGCAGCCAGCGTAGGCTCCCCTGTATCTCTACGGTGCTGGGAGCAGTGTCCGCCCTCCCAGGTCAGGGCACTTTGTTTTAATCATCCTAAAATTAAATTCCAGCGCACTTTGTTTACTCATCATTCTGAAATTAAATTCCAGGATCCCCACAAGGAATCACCGACCATGGCCATCAGCGTGTGGGGCTTGCTGCTGACGATAACAGTCACCGTACAAGCACAGCCACAGCTCGCCTGTGAGAGTGTAGGAGATGGC